GAAGCCACCGGTCAGCCATATTGGCATTCCCCAGTAACTGCAGTGGAATTCTTCAGTATTTCAATTAAATGTTTTAATGACAAAATTACATGTATTTAAGTATTTTTGTTGTTGTAGTGGGGACAGTAACAGTACTCTCTAAAAAATATACTTCAAGGAATATGTTTTTATTATATTTTTGAATTTGAAATGTTTATGTTTTAGCCCACATAATATTATTTATTAAGTATGAATTAATGTGTCTGTAATAGAAAACGAATGTAGACATTAATAAATGCATTTCTAGAGCATCCCAAATCTTTTTTTTATAATGGAGGAGTACCAAGATGGCTGCAGGGTGGGTTCAATACGGCTCCAATTGACTTTAATTTCGGAAATCTGTTCCAAAGTATTCCCACGCATAATAGAGAACTATACAGTGACTTCAGAAAGTATTCACCCCCTTGACTTTTTAAAAATTTTGTTGTGTTACAGCCTCAATTTAAAATAGATTAAATATAGATTTAATTTGTCACTGGCCTATACACAATACCCCATAATGTCAAAGTGTAATTATGTTTTAATTATTATTTTTTTTTTACAAATTAATTAAAAATGAAAAGCTGAAATGATTGGAGTCAATAAGTATTCAACCACTTTGTTATGGCAAGCCTAAATATGTTCAGGAGTAAAACTTTGCTTAACAAGTCACATAATAAATTGCATGTGCAATAATAGTGTTTAACATGATTTTTGAACGACTATCTCATCTCTGTACCCCACATGTGCAATTACAGTGCCTTGCAAAAGTATACAGACCCCTTGGATTTCTTCACATTTTATTGTGTTACAAAGTGGGATTAAAATGGATTTAATTGTCATTTTTTGTCAATATACTCAAAATAATCTCTAATGTCAAAGTGGAAGACAAATTCAATTTTTTCAAGATTAATAAAAATTAGAACTAAAATATAGTTGTTGCATAAGTATTCAGCCCTTTGTTTAGGCAAGCCTAAATTAGTTCAGGAGTCAAATTTGGCTTAACAAATTGCATAATAAGTTACATGGACTCTGTGTAAATTAATAGTGGTTGACATGATATTTGAATGTCTAACCCTTCCTCTGTCCCCCATACATACAACATCTGTAAGGTCCCTCAGTCGAGTATTGAATTTCAAGCACAGAATCAACTACAAAGACCAGGAAGCTTTTCGAAAGCCTCATAAAGAAGGGCAGTGATTGGTAGATGATTAACAATAACAAATCAGACATTGAATATATCTTTAACCTCTTAAGGTGGAATGTATATAACAGTCACAATAACAGCTGAAAACTCCCTCGGGAGGTAGAAGGGTCAGCATTTGACCATCAGGTATTCCAAGACGTGTGAACAATGGGTCAAGACTTCCACTGCGCTCGAGTCAGCACACCATTTGTTGTTAATGAAGAGGTAAACCCCTCCCCCTCTCTATTTCTCTGATTCCACTGTCCTATCCGCTCTGTGAATGGAGAATCCATCGTGTTGGAGAGCCATGGGGGGTATCTTGTCCAATAGCCATATTTCAGAAAAGCAGAGAATATCGCAATTACGAGAGTCCCGTTGGTAGCAAATCTGCGATCGGCGGTAATCCATTTTATTATGCCAAAAGAATGGAGGGAAGAGGTGGCCAGTTTTCCCTTCGCTTTAATCTCGCCAGGACCCTACCTCTCTTGCCTTTGTAACATTGGTGTTTCCTCTTGAATACCCTGAAAATTGGGTCAGAATTACAGAGAGAGCCCAGGGCAGATGAGACAAAGTTGAAGCTGGAATTCAGGTAAGTAACTGCTGATCTGATCTTTAAAAGTTATTGTCAGTTATACACTGAACAAAAATATAAACGCAACATGCAACAATATTTTACTCACTTACAGTTCATGTAAGGAAATCAGTCAATTGAAATAAATTCATTATGCCTTAATCTATGGATTTCACATGACCGGGAATACAGATATGCATCTGTTGGTCACAGATACCTTTAAAAAAGTAGGCTGTGGATGAGAAAACCAGTCAGTATCTGGTGTCCTTCGCATAGAGTTGATCAGGCTGTTGATTGTGGCCTGTGGAATGTTGTCCCACTCCTCTTCAATGGCTGTGCGAAGTTGCTGGACATTGACTGGAACTGGAACACGCTGTCGTATACATCAATCCAGAGCATCCCAAACATGCTCAATGGGTGACATGTCTGGTGAGTATGCAGGCCATGGGAGAACTGGGACATTTTCAGCTTCCAGGAATTGTGTACAGATTCTTGTGATATGGGGCTGTGCATTATCATGCTGAAACATGAGGTGATGTCGGTGGATGAATGGTAGACAATGGGCCTCAGGATCTCGTCACGGTATCTCTATGCAGTCAAATTGCCATCGATAAAATGCAATTGGGTTCGTTGTCTGTAGCTTATGCCTGCCAATACCATAACCCCACCGCCACCATGGGGGACTCTGTTCACAACGTTGACATCAGCAAACCGCTCGCCCACACAACGCCATACACGCTGTCTGCCATCTGCCCAGTACACTTAAAACCGGGAATCATCAGTGAAGAGCACACTTCTCCAACGTGCCAGTGGCCATCAAAGGTGAGCATTTGCCCACTGAAGTCAGGTCAATACCCTGGTGAGGACGACGAGCACGCAGATGAGCTTCCATGAGACGGTTTCTGACATTTTGTGCAGAAATTCTAGGGTTGTGCACAGTTTCATCAGCTGACCGGGTGGTTGGTCTCAGACAATCCTGCAGGTGAAGAAGCCGGATGTGGAGTACCTGGGCTGGCGTGGTTACACGTGGCCTGTGGTTGTGGGGCCGTACTGCCAAATTCTCTAAAATGACGTTGGAGACTGCTTATGGTAGAGAAATGAACATTCAATTCTCTGGCAATAGCTCTGGTGGACATTCCTGCAGTCAGCATGCCAATTGCAGGCTCCCTCAAAACTTGATACATCTGTGGCATTGTGTTGTGTGACAAAACTGCACATTTTAGAGTGGCCTTTTACTGTCCCCAGCACAAGGTGCACCCCTGTGTAATGATCATGCTGTTTAATCAGCGTATTGATATGCCACACCTGTTAGGTCGATGGATTATCTTGGCAAAGGAGAAATGCTAACTAACAGGGTTGTAAAGAAATTTGTGAACAAAATCTGAGAGAAATAAGCTTTTTGTGCTTATGGAACATTTCTGGGATCTTTTATTTCAGCTCATGATTTCCATGTAGGAAATGATAGCGGATACATTTAGTGAAATATAAAGTAAAGATAAACACCAAAACAATCACAAAATAGCTAAGTTGGGTCGGAAGCTCGCAAAACAGCAGCCATCCAGTATGGCGGCGTATGTTCAGCAAAACACTGTAGAAATGTACTGTAAAATGACAAAAATATCTCCAAATTAACAGCAATGGCTAACTGTGTAGTTTCATGTTATCACATGTTAAAAAACATGATTTCACAAGTGGAACGTGACATTTCACATGTGAAAAAGTGTTTTTGTAACACTTCATGTGACATTTCACACTTGAAAATGTTTTTTGGAACACTTCATATTTGACATTTCATGTGAAATAATGTGTGAAGACGTGTTTTTGGAACACTTCATGTGACATTTCACATGAAAACGTGAAAACATTTGTTTTTGGAACACTTCCCGTGACATTTCACATGTGAAATCATGTGAAAACATTAGTTGTTTGAATACTTCACGTGACATTTCACATGTGATTACATGTTTTCATGTGTAATTTCATGAGTTATTGCTGTTCAGCTAAAATATGACTCCACCTTTTGATTTGAACTCACAACCTCTGAATGTGAAGTACGCTGATCTTTGTGCTGCACCACAAAGTCTGTAGCATTCTTCTACACATTCGTTACCTATAATACATCTCTACACTTAGCAAAATAGTGCCATTTGCACTGCTATTGTAGGCCAGAGTTCAATCCGATCAAGGTTATAGGCATTGCAGCTTTTAAAGGCAATGTTTCCGCATTCGCGGAGACTACATTCACGGTAAATGCTGCATATGTCGTCTCAATCGGAAATTACCTTTAGATTTCTATCGCAGAATCTGTAACGCTTCAGCGATAACAGATTGAATAGAGCCCTTAGTTATCAGTTATTCTGACTATTCTCTCATCATTGATTTCATTTACTTATTTCAGCAATTTTAAGGTTTTCTGTATAGTTGTCTAATGTTGGTGGGGCATATTATTCTGTTTTAATGTTACTCCTGAATCACTATGATAAATATAATAGTTTTTCTTGAGTGTATTTTTAACAATGCTGAGATGTAGTTTGATGTCCAAAGTGTAGATTGGAATTCCATGAACCAAGAGGTTGTGTGTTCCCATCCCAGGTAAGGACATGTTGAATAATAATGAATGTATAAACATACACAATGTAGTAAAGTGTGTCAAATATTTAAGTTGAAAACACTACGTTAAAAGCACTGTGTGTGTATCATAACAACTCATTTTTGTTTGTAGGGCATCACCTGTGAAATTTCATGTGACAATTTTTATCCACATGTATAAGGTTATGTGATCACATGAAAATCCACATAATCACATGTGAAGTGTTCCAAAAACACGTGGTTTCATATGATTTTACATGTGCAAAACGTGGAAATTTCACTTGAGAAATCATGTGATTTTCCACAATTGAAATGGTGTAGAGGTGAAGAAAGGAGACAGTGGTGATTAAGAGAAGACAACGTCACTGGTTTTAGAAAAGGCAGAGGCTGCGCAACCTGTGTTCGCTCAGCCCCCAGGACGCCTTTTCCCATTTTCTAAAACTCCTTACGTACTTAAACATTTTTCAAAACAACATAAACATAAGTAGGAGGCTGTGTAAAGGTTTTAGTGTGTAAGGAAAACACGTGCAAAACAGGAGTTTTCGAAAACGTGAAATGGCGTCCTGGTGGCAGGACGAACACAGGTTGAGCAGCCATTCCGTTTAGAAAAATGATCAAGTGCTTTGAGCTACTGACCTCTCCTCGCCTATCACAATGACTTGTCTGTTCCTTTTTTCTTTTCCTGCAGAAACAAGTTAACATGTATTAGGGCTGGGATTCAATCCAATCACGCTTTGTCGGCTTTGCACCTTTTAAAGGCACTGTTTCAGCATTAGTGGAGACCGCATTCACAGTAAATGCTGCATATGTCGGCTCAATCGGAAATTACCTTTAAATGTCAAGTGCGCTATAATGTGGATCTACCACTGATCAGATTGAATCCCAGCCTAGGTAGGCCTACTTCGTTGAAAATACAACTCCTTCTGAACTATAAATACAATATGAAACCACAGTGCTTTGGGCAATGCAGGTTTGTTTGAATTGAGCCCTTAGATACACAACTTTGAGTTACTCACCTATACAGCCAGACCATACAGCAGATACCAATGCACAGAGCCACTCCTCCAATAGCAGACGGAATTGTGAAGAGCAACAACATCTGTAGGCCATGTTCAGCATTATCTGTGTTAAGTCAAACAGACACAAAAAATGGGGATTATCAGGAAAGTCTCAAAGATCTAAAACGAGTGTCATATTCCTTTGCTTTACAACAATATAGTAAACTGGGGGAAAAACCAAATAATAACGTTCAATATTAATTGTTCGCAATAATTATCACAATAATGTACACATAACAACATTTGGTTGGTAAATTGAACCTTGTGGCTGTTCAATTTAACACTTTTGAAGTGTTTATATGAGAACCACCAGAAAATGTTGAATTTACACTTTTCAAAGTGTTGCTCTTTTAACACTGATACTTTGCAACGTAACATTTTACTCTAACTCTGTGTTAAAGGTACACTGTTATGGTGTTCCCTACTACCTTGTATTTAACACTTTAGAATTAGATTTTTATACTAGGTCAGTGTTAAAGGTAAACTGTTATGGTGTTTACTGATACCTTCACAGCAAATTCTGTAGTGTTAAATTAACACTGGTCCTATAAGGGTCCACACTTTTCAGTGTTAAATTAACATGCTGCTTAGTGTAAAGCCTTATTTGCATATTTCCCAGAGTGCCTTGCCGTTCAATGTGAAATGTAGGGTTACCACCCATGACTGTACTTGTTAGTGACAGAGACATGGTTGTTGCTTTCATTCATTTTCAGTCTTGTGGTCTTCACTGAGATCCTAAATTAATGTTATCATTAAAATCTAATTGTTTAACAAAATACAACAGATCATTCATGGAACTTTATTTTGAGGTCCAAGTTTTTCCCTAATACAAAGGCCTGCAAGTCACATTATGCTGGCTTGCAAAGTGCAAAGTGATGTGTAATTCCTATTGGAATCCAGCCAGAGTGGGGATAGCCAACAGTTGGAATTTTATTCACCTGCAACCTGCGTTGAGAATGACTGCTGGGTTTAGAAGAGTAAGATCTGAGACTACCTTAAACATCTAAACTGGAACAACCATTTCAGTAAAGGGAGCCATAAATCCATATAACAGATTGGATTAAAATATGTTATTTATATAAGCATAAGATTCATTAATTTATCAATGTACATGCAAAACATAGATGGTGAAACAAACCATTCAAAAAATCTAACTGCAATAGAGTATGCTGGGAAATATCATAATGATGGGTGTGGTTTTGGTTAAACTGGTTATTTGTCACACCGTGATCTGTTTCACCTATCTTTGTGATTTCACCTTCCCCATTATCCCCAGTGTATCTATACCTGTGTTCTCTGTTTTTCTGTTGCCAGTTCGTTTTGTTTTCGACAAGCCTACCAGCGGTTTTCCCCTTGCTCCTGTCATTTTCAACTTCCTGTTTTCCCGGTTTTGACCATTCTGCCTGTCCTGACCCTGACACTGCCTGCCGTTCTTTACCTTTTGGACTCTGATCTGGATTACTGTCGTTTGCCTGCCCCCTGTTTTTGTAATAAACGTTTGTTACTTCAACACTGTCTGCATCTGGGTCTTCTCCTGAAACGTGATTGTTATTAACACCAACACTTTACACCAATGAGTGTTAATCTAACACCTGAATCAACACTCTAAATATTACACTGAAAAACATACATTAGGTAATACTGGCCAATTTGACACCCTGCTATTTTTTAACACCAGCATTCAGTCCGTTCAGAGTAACACAAAGTAACACCATATCAACACCAAAACTGCTAACACCAGGATATGAACACTGACAATTTTTCTGTGCAGTTTTGTTCATGTCACAATTCTTTAGAAATGTGCATATTTACATGTAGTATTACAGAATACAGTTTATTCTCTGGATGTTACAGTATAAACAGAAAATCACGTTCATTACCTATGAGGTTATCTGTGATAGTCAAATTCCACTCCATTGTCTTAACACCCATTCGATCTGAGACAGTACAGCTGTAGGTCCCGGCGTCAGTTACCTCTACAATAGATATAATCAGCTCTGTAGGAATAAGAGAGTCAGCCCTCATCCTGCCTGAGGTGAAGTTTCTGAGAGTTTTTTTCCCCTTGGAACGAGAGAGAATAAGAATTGTGTCCTTTCTCCAGACGACCTGTTTAGTTGTGTTCATCATGGATTCATTGCACACCAAAGAAACATCTTCTCCCAAAGAAGCTGATTTATTTGTTTGAAGTTTTGTTGCTGACTCTATGGGAGAGAAAGGAACAAAGACAATGTTGACAAACAGAGAGGCAAGTAGGCAGATAGATAACAAGATTATCAGATACTCAACAAGAAGGTCTGATTTCATTATTACTGAAACAGGACCCAAGTGGTAAATATTAACATCCAGTCCATTAAAACAATTAGAGGCCCCTTACACTTCAGTGTTGTGATGCAACAATTCTAGCAAAGTGCATAGCGCATAGAATTAAAAAGGTATTGTTGGATATTATTCATTCTAATCAGACAGGTTTTTTTTACATGGACGATACATTGAAGATAATATAAGACAAGTACTGGAAACAATAGAACACTGTGAATAATCTGGGAAACCAGGCCTGGTATTCATAGCTGACTTTGAAAAGGCTTTTGATAAAGTATGACTGGAATTTATTTATAAATGCCAGGAATATTTCAATTTTGGGTTATGTATAGTAACCCTATATGTAAAATAGTAAATAATGGCTACTTCTCAGAAAGTATTAAACTGCCAAGAGGAGTAAAACAACTATCGGCATGTCTATTTATTATGGCCATCAAAATATTAGCTATTAAAATTAGCTCCAACAATAATATCATGGGCCTAGAAATCCAGGGCTTAAAAACAAAGGTGTCATTGTACGCTGATGATTCATGTTTTCTTTTAAATGCACAATTTGGATCCCTCCACAGCCTCATAGATGATGTAGATACTTTTTCTAACCGTTCTGGATTACAACCAAATTATGATAAGTGTATTACATTACCTATTAGATCACAAAAAAATACAACTTTTACATTACCGTGTAGTTTACCAATAAAATGGTCTGATGGTGAAGTGGACATACTCGGTATTCATATCACGAAATAAATAAATGATCTCACTACAATACATTTTAATAGAAAGTTGGCAAAAATAGATAGGATCTTGCTACCATGGGAAGGAAAATAACTGTCTATTTAACTATTTAGTCATATTCCAGTTTACCTATTTGCTTATGGCTTGCCTACATCTAGCGACTTGTTTTTTAAATTATATGAGCAAAAAATATTCCATTTTATTTGCAACAGTAAGCCAGAAAAAATTTTACGGGCCTATTTATATAAATAATATGAATTCGGAAGGGAGAAATTATTAAATATTAAAGCACTAGACCTCTCACTAAAGGCTTCAATCATACAAAAGTTATACTTAAATCCGAACTGGTTCTCTAGCAGATTAGTAAGAATGTCTCACCCCATGTTCAAGAATGGCCTTTTCCCCTTTATTCAGATTACAACCTCTCACCTTTGGTTATTTGAAAATGAAATAATCTCCAAAATATTGCTATTTTTAAAACAAGCCATAGAAAGTTGGGTGCAATTTCAGTTTCATCCACCAGAAAAGACAGAACAAATATTACAACAAATGTTATGGTTAAACTCAAATATACTAATTGATAAAAAAAACTATACTTTTGGAATAAAAAATAAAAAAGGTATAATCTCTGTAAATTATATGATAAATAGGAGTTATGTCACACATGCAGCTAACAAAAATATATGGAAATGTCTGCTCTACTCAAAATTACAACCAACTAATTGCAGTATTACCGCAAAAATGGAAGAGGGAAGTGGAAGGGGAGAAAGTAAGGAACTTGTCTGTTGGCTCTGCATTAAAGACCATAATTGGCTAAAGAAAATTGTGATAAATAAAAAAGTATACCAGTTTCATTTAAGGACCAAAAAATGTACAGCTGTGTCATATAGATTGCAAAATAGTTGGAAAGAGATTTTCGATGTACAGATTCCATGGCACATGGTTTATGAACTGATACACAAAACAACGCTGGATTCAAAACTTAGAGGTTTTCCATTTAAATTATTATACAAAATTCTTGCAACCAATAGAATGTTATATAAATTATATGGGTGATACTCTGCAGATTGTTCTGCAAAGAAACAGAGTCATTAGATTATTTGTTTTGGTGCTGTCCATATGTACAGTGCCTTGCAAAAGTATTCATCCCCCCTTGGCGTTTTTCCTATTTTGTTGCATTACAACCTGTAATTTAAATGGATTTTTATTTGGATTTCATGTAATGGACATACACAAAATAGTCCAAATTGGTGAAGTGAAATGAAAAAAATAACTTGTTTCCATAAATTATAAAAAATTTATAACGGAAAAGTGGTCTGTGCATATGTATTCACCCCCTTTGCTATGAAGCCCCTAAATAAGATCTGGTGCAACCAATTACCTTCCGAAGTCACTTAATTAGTTAAATAAAGTCCACCTGTGTGCAATCTAAGTGTCACATGATCTCAGTATATATACACCTGTTCTGAAAGGCCCCAGAGTCTGCAACACCACTAAGCAAGGGGCACCACCAAGCAAGCGGCACCATGAAGACCAAGGAGCTCTCCAAACAGGTCAGGGACAAAGTTGTGGAGAAGTACAGATCAGGGTTGGATTATAAAAAAATATCTGAAACTTTGAACATCCCACGGAGCACCATTAAATCCATTTTAAAAAAATGGAAAGAATATGGCACCACAACAAACCTGCCAAGAGAGGGCCGCCCACCAAAACTCACAGACCAGGCAAGGAGGGCATTAATCATAGAGGCATAAAAGAGACCAAAGATAACCCTAAAGGAGCTGCAAAGCTTCACAGCGGAGATTGGAGTATCTGTCCATAGGACCACTTTAAGCCGTACACTCCACAGAGCTGGGCTTTACGGAAGAGTGGCCAGACAAAAGCCATTGCTTAAAGAAGAAAATAAGCAAACACGTTTGGTGTTCGCCAAAAGGCATGTGGGAGACTCCCCAAACATATGGAAGACGGTACTCTGGTCAGATGAGATTAAAATTGAGCTTTTTGGCCATCAAGGAAAACGATATGTCTGGCGCAAACCCAACACCTCTCATGACCCCGAGAACACCACCCCCACAGTGAAGCATGGTGGTGGCAGCATCATGCTGTGGGGACTGGGAAACGGCAGGGACTGGGAAACTGGTCAGAATTGAAGGAATGATGGATGGCGCTAAATACAGGGAAATTCTTGAGGGACACCTGTTTCAGTCTTCCAGAGATTTGAGACTGGGATGGAGGTTCACCTTCCAGCAGGACAATGACCCTAAGCATAATGCTAAAGCAACACTCAAGTGGTTTAAGGGGAAACATTTAAATGTCTTGGAATGGCCTAGTCAAAGCCCAGACCTCAATCCAATTGAGAATCTGTGGTATGACTTAAAGATTGCTGTACACCAGCGGAATCCATCCAACTTGAAGGAGCTGGAGCAGTTTTGCCTTGAAGAATGGGCAAAAATCCCAGTGGCTAGATGTGCCAAGCTTATAGAGACATACCCCAAGAGACTTGCAGCTGTAATTGCTGCAAAAGGTGGCTCTACAAGGTATTGACTTTGGGGGGGGTGAATAGTTATGCACGCTCAAGTTTTCTGTTTTTTTGTCTTATTTCTTGTTTGTTTCACAACAAAAAGTATTTTGCATCTTCAAAGTGGTAGGCATGTTGCGTAAATCAAATGATACAAACAAAATAGGAAAAATGCCACTGTAGCTTGCCACTGTAGCATGCTTTTGGTCGCAGGTTAAGGAATGGCTGAAGAATTGCAACATTTACCTGGAGCTAACTCTGCAAATAGCACTGCTGGGTGATTTAAAAAGTCATAGTCAATCAATAAATAATCTAATAATTATTTTAGCAAAAATGTTTATCTTTAATGTACAATATATATAATCTATGAGAGTAGAAAGGTTCAGAACTTTTGTGAAACATCAAGGCAGAGTTGAAAAATATATGGCAAATAGAAATCAAAACTGGATGGTGTTCAGCAATAGATGGGAGGGGTTGAGTGGAGCTGAAGGATGGGACTAAAAACAAACAAAATATAACTATTGTAAAATATACTGTGTCCTTAAAATTTATATAGTATGTACAGTGAGGGAAAAAAGTATTTGATCCCCTGCTGATTTTGTACATTTGCCCACTGACAAAGAAATGATCCGTCTATAATTTTAATGGTAGGTTTATTTGAACAGTGAGAGACAGAATAACAACAACAAAAAATCCAGAAAAACGCATGTCAAAAATGTTATAAATTGATTTGCATTTTAATGAGGGAAATAGGTATTTGACCCCCTCTCAATCAGAAAGATTTCTGTCTCCCAGGTGTATTTTATACAGGTAACGAGCTGAGATTAGGAGCACACTCTTAAAGGGAGTGCTCCTAATCTCAGCTTGTTACCTTTATAAAAGGCACCTGTCCACAGAAGCAATCAATCAATCAGATTCCAAACTCTCCACCATGGCCAAGACCAAAGAGCTCTCCAAGGATGTCAGGGACAAGATTGTAGACCTACACAAGGCTGGAATGGGCTACAAGACCATCGCCAAGCAGCTTGGTGAGAAGGTGACAACAGTTGGTGCGATTATTTGCAAATGGAAGAAACACAAAAGACCTGTCAATCTCCCTCGGCCTAGGGCTCCATGCAAGATCTCACCTCGTGGAGTTGCAATGATCATGAGAACGGTGAGGAATCAGCCCAGAACTACACGGGAGGATCTTGTCAATGATCTCAAGGCAGCTGGGACCATAGTCACCAAGAAAACAATTGGTAACACACTACGCCGTGAAGGACTGAAATCCTGCAGTGCCCGCAAGGTCCCCCTACTCAAGAAAGCACATATACAGGCCAGTCTGAAGTTTGCTAATGAACATCTGAATGATTCAGAGGAGACCTGGGTGAAAGTGTTGTGGTCAGATGAGACCAAAATCGAGCTCTTTGGCATCAACTCAATTCGCCGTGTTTGGAGGAGGAGGAATGCTGCCTATGACCCCAAGAACACCATCCCCACCGTCAAACATGGAGGTGGAAACATTATGCTTTGGGGGTGTTTTTCTGCTAAGGGGACAGGACAACTTCACCGC